CCATAATGCTTCTTTCCAATATATACTTGGTACTGTCAGTAGCTGCTTCTTTTAGTGGGGAGGATATTAAACAGAAAAAGTTTGTACTGAAGCAGTCTTTAATATTCACTGATATACAGAGTCCTTTAAACCATTTAATTGCTTAAAGACTAATAGCAAAACACTGTAAGGATAAATCGCTCCTATGATACAATGGCTTGGGGACCTCACAATGCTTTCAGTATTCAAAGGGGTGGCACATGGACACCAACTTCAGGTCAATTTTTCTTTGGCTCTTTGGTCCACTTTTGTTGAAGTCTGTGTATCATTACTAGAAAGTTGTGTGCATTTCATAGCACCCTATGCACACACATTTTAAAAAAGGAAAAAGTAAAATATACTTTGGGGTGCCTGCAAGTGCCACGTAAAGGATCCTTTTGCAGGTGTCACTGAAGCTGTCTGTGTGCCCCATGGTGCCCCATGTACTGTGTTGGAAGGAGATGATCCTTTGGGTAACCTGGCCCTAAGTCATTTATAACTTTATTAGTTAATACTTTCTCTTTGAATTTTGTCTGGGAGCCAGTGCAGATTATTAAAAAGTAGCATAATAGGATCATACTGGCTGGTTCCTGTTAATATTGCTGCTGTATTTTGGCAGCTGAAGTTTCTGGATGGCATTCAAAGGTGGCCCCACATGTAACATATTGCGGTAGTTCTTACAAGTGGTTAGCAGAGTATGGATGTTTGAAGTGAGGCTATCCCTGTTAGCTAATTGTCATTAGATTATCCCAACTGGAAGCTTATCCTATACTTCAGTTATACTGGGAAGGGCAGATTCACAGTTGGAAGGATGACTGTACCCCATATCTTAGTGCTGTTGCAGCTCAGACCCCTGGGCAAAATCTGGCTTGCCTGGGGTCCCAATTTTGCCCTCCAGGAGGATACCCCCATGACCTTTCTCTCTCAACCAAAGTTTGGTGGCTTGCCAGCTTTAGCAGTTTTTTCACCCATTCAAAATGAAGAAAAATAAACTTGAATTAAATCTGCAAATCAACTGACAACCAATACAGGTTTTTCAGGAGGTATCTACCTACCTGAGTTTTGATGTTGTGTGCCAGTAAGCAGCCCAGCTGTCAGAACCAACCCCACCATTGGGTAGAGCAAGTCCCTTGCCTTGGGCAGTAGGTGTCAAGGGGTACAGAGTGGGCATGATCCATTAAGAGCTGTATGTCACATGACCTGCCCTTTGGCCCCACAGTTAGGAGGCTGATATCAGGTGCAATAGGGAATGGTGTTCCCCACTGGTGTTGAGGGAAGATGCAACTGCCAGTCCTGTTTTTGCAGGAAGGGACCATCAAATGACTTGGGCCAGTCTTGCCAGCTACTGTGCCATGCCCCAGTTGACGCTTCCAGACATTCTTCAGGGATCGCCCCACACTGCAATGGTTTCACCATGATGTAAGCAAAGCATGAACAGACAACGCTTAGCAAAAGCAGCCATCACCCTTCCTCAGCTGGTCTGACTTGGCAAATAACAGTAGCCAAGTCAGACTGGCTTGGGAAGGGGTGCAGGAACGAAATCAACACTGAGAAGCTTCAAGACCAACTCAGGGAAGGAATGATTCTTTCACCAAGAAGCTGAGGAACCAGGATTCTCTCCCTCCCTCCCTCCCTCCCTCCCTCTCTCTCACACACACACACACACAACGAGCGTGATGGTAACAGTATGTTGCTTCTCCCCGTGATTTTGTCATCCACTCCCCTGCTGAAAGGATCCATTAAGTGCATGTAATGTACTGATTATTTCTTTAAGGAGAGTAGAAATGTAGTTCTTGTGGGCACTTGCTGAAATAAAGATACCAGGCCTCCGATTATCTTGGTACATCTGATCCCCTTGGATGAGCTGGCACTTTGCCCATATGTTCTTCACCTCCTGCTGCCTCTTCACCACCTCTTGAATCTCTCTGCTTGAGGTTGTTTTCTGAAATCAGATTCCTTCCTCTCCCCTGACCTTACATCCCCTTTTACAAACTGGGGTGACCTTAAGAGTCCTTTGAAAAAACACACACACACACAAACTTGAAAGCATTTGTTTTTGTGTTTGTTTGGGCCTGATCCCTGGATCTTTTCAGTGCTTGGCACTGTCCCTGATGTCACATATAAGCTGTTGTAATGTGTGAACTGTGCCACAGGGTTTTTGTACAGCAGGGTGCTTTAGCCCAGTGGTTTTCAACTGCCAGTCTGCAGATTTCCTGTCAGTCTGGGGGGGGGGGGGGGGCTCCTGCTCACTGTGGCGCAGGGGCTGGCTGTGCTCCACCACCTCTTCCTTGGCTGGCATTGGGAGGTGTGCCCGCTGGGGGCGCCAGGAAGGGGAGAGACGGCTTGGTGAAAGCCAGCTGGGAGCCATGCCATGTCAATTTTGGTATTTTGTTCTTTTGTTGGCATTTTTTGTTGCTTGGTTTCTAGTTGTTTTGGAGACCTTCCTTCCTTCCTTCCTTCCTTCCTTCCTTCCTTCCTTCCTTCCTTCCTGATATTGTGTTTGGAAACTAATACACAGAATACTGTCTTATGTGTGTGGTGCTTTTTATTTCTGCCTCAGCAGTCCCCAAGGTGGTTTTCCTGTTTTTGTCAGTCCCCAAAGGTTGAAAAGCACTGCTTTAGCCTACAAATTCCATCTGCTCTAGAGAGCATGGACAGTGCTGAGAGCTGGTGGGAGCTGTAGACCAAAATATATGGAAGGCCACAAGTTGCCCAAATGTGGGTTCACAAGCATTTTCAAATGGTCATGCATAGCCAACTGGAAACCATAAACTGGTTCTGACTCAGGATGTATAGTATCTGTTTTGTTACATCCCCCTCATTGATGGAATCAGATTTTTTTAAAGTCTGCATGAGAATGTTGTTCCTCCTATGCAGGAGAGCATTAACTCAGGTAGGCATTAGTGGAAACTTTTATTTTTATTTATTTTTTCAATTTATATCCTGCCTTTTTCCTACAAAGGGCTCAAGGCAGCTTATGTCATTCTCCTCCTCCATCTGATCCCCACAACAACAACCCTGTGAGGGAGGTTGGGCTGAGAGTCTGTGACTGGCCCAAAGTCACCCAGTTGGCTCCATGGCTGAGCGGGGACTAGAACCCAGATCCTCTGAGTCCCAGTCCCATGCTCTTAACCACTACACCACACTGGCTCTCCTTCAGAAAGTAAAAGAATGATCTGCAGAATCTGCATGACTCAGAAAAAGCACATCCATTGTGAAATGTGCAAGTTAGACATTCCAAACCTAACCCCCTCTTGAATCTGTTATGCATTCTGACATCTCTATTTCCAACAATATGTTAACCAATATCTCCCATGATTGATCAACCTTGATTCTCCCTAGAGCTCCATTCAGCTTCCATGAAAACAAAACTGTGATTTTTCATGAGAGACATTTTCATGGTTAGCTCTTTAAAATTCAGGTTTGTCACAGCTGTATGATCAAAGCCCACTCCCTGATTGGACCAGGGGTCCCAGCTGCAAGTAAAAGGATGCCTCAGTGTGCATATACCCAGTCCTATGTCTACAGCAGCCACACTTGCCTCATTTGATGCACTCAAGCCTGTTGCTCATGATAAATGGATGCATAACTGCTGTGCAGAGGTGCACTGCCATGGATCCCACGGTATTCAATTACACTCTTCTCATTTCTAAGCATAAGTACTTAAAAATACTGCAGCAACAAGGAGCAAATGAAAAGACAGATTAGGGGCAAAACAGCATGGGCCAGAACACAAACACTAGTGAATGAGTGCAATGATATAGGCATCTGGTGACAGTCTAGCCTGCCTGTTCAAACAAGGCAAACACACACTTCTTGTGAAGCAGGGAAGGGTTGTGGTGTAGCAACCTATACCTGGGAAGAATATTGTGCTCTTACTCAGTTCTTAAAAGAATGAAGAAACGGATCCTCTGCAGGCAGAAAACGGATGGAGGAAATCACAGCATGACAATTAGATGCCTCCCCACCCCCATCCCCACCCACAAAAAACCGAAGAATTACAATTCCACGTAGAAAACACTTCAGCCATCGCCAAATAGGCATTACTTTAAATACGCACTGAGCAGTTACGTCCCATTTTTACTCTAAAATACTAGCAGGACTCTTGGCCCTCTGCATCCGTAAAAAGGAAAGAAAAACAGTACAGAGCTGCTGAGGTGCACATTTAAGCATCTCCTGCCTTGCCTGCGACGTGAGCTGAACCCCCCGAGACCGCGGGGCTTCCTTCTGCGTGATCTTGCGCAGGGCTGGGGCTGCGAAGGGACCTGGCACTAGCTATGGCATGGCTCGCTGCTTCCATTTACTCGCAATTCCATTTCTGTGCCACACCAAAACTGCAGCAATGCTTTCTACTGTCTTTTTGCTACGACCAATTGACGTTTCAGAAGTCGAAAAGGATAGGCGGTAAATTTCGCAGAATTGGCGCGGGGGGGGGGGAGCGGGAGCCCTGCGCGCTATCCCGGCTGCCCTCGAAAGCGGGAGCAGCCCCAAGCAGGAGTTTGGCCCCAGCTGCGTCGGCTGCCTTGGGCTTCCCGCCGCGCCCCCCCCCCCCCGCCCCAGCCAGGCGCCCGCCGCGTCTTGCCAGCCACGGGCAACTCCCATTGTCCGCGGCGGGCTCGGCGTGCGCATGAGCCCGCCGCCCTTGTGCGTACGCAGCCCCGGCGCTTCCCGTAGCGCAGCATGGGAGGAGGCGGCGGGAGGCGGCGCTCGGCACCCTTTAAAAGCACCGCGCGCGCGACGGCTCCCGAGCAGCGGCTGAGGCAGCGCGCCTCCTCGCCCCTGGCCTCGGCGCCTCGCTGCTGCCTCCGCCGCCTCCTCGCCCCTCTGCGAGCCGCCAGCGGCTTCCCGCTCGCCTGCCGCCTGGACGGCACAGCCGCGTCGCTTCCGGATTCCCGGTCTTGGCGGGGTGGGCGGGTCGCGGGGGGCGCCTTTCCCATGCGGCTGTCGGCGATCATGTCTCAGAACTGCCTCCTAGCGCCGATCCAGGAGGGGCCCTCCGAGTACCTCGTCAAGGACGTGAAGCTAGCCGTGCTGGGGACGACGAGCGTGGGGAAGAGCGGTAAGCGCAAGGCGCGCAGCCCTCCGGGGGTGCCCCAGAGAGGGGCTGCAGGCCGCGCGTGGGAACTGGGGGGAAAAACCGTGGCTCAAATCCATCTTCCTCCCGAGCAAGGATTTCGTGAAATAAAGAAGCTGTTAAAAAGGCATGAAGATGAGGGTGAATATATTCCATATTCCATGGTCTAATAAGTCTATTAATGGGTTGATCCAGCGTTAGTTTTACTTAGAGTAGATCCAGCAAAATGAATGAGACTTGCTTATATGCAATACATATTCCCAGCATTTTTTTTATCTTGCTCCCCCAGAACAGGTTCGGAGAATTAATAATTGTTAGACTTAAGGTAGATGTTGTTATGATTTTTTCTGACATATGAAGCTATGAACTGGTTCAGGTGGGCTTAGGGAGTTCCTTTTTCAAGACAACTGAACTTACAGTGCCTCGGCGTTAAGTCAGAAATTCCTCCACTGCTACCCAGTGCTGTCGCTAAGAGACCAAGCTTATCTGCTTCCCTCTCCGTGGCTGTATTTGCTCTCAGCAGAATATCAGGGCCTACGATCACCTTCCTCATTCCGCAAGCGTTTAGTAAGTCTGAGAATAGATGGGTCTTGACCCTCTATCATCTTTTACTGACCAAGGATTCTGCTTCTTTTCAGCTATGATTGTGCGGTACCTAACCAAGAGATTTATTGGAGACTATGAACCCAACACAGGTGAGGTTTGCTCTTCTTTCTTTCTCTTCTTAAAAGGTCTCTCTGCAGGTTCCAGGCATGATGTTTTAGGGTAGCCCCCTCTTGGTGGATGTACATGGGAATCATTTCAGGGAACCATGGAGAATGGGTCTCTGTGCGTTTCCTATAGCCCCCTGCAGTGCATGGCCCAAAGGAGGGGAAGTAAAGGGGTGAAATAAGGCTTCGAGGAGACCTATTTCTTTCTAGCATTCCCTTCCTCAAAGATGTTCTGAACAGTACATTTTCTTCTTTTCTCTCCCCCACCCCATCAGTTTATTCTCATAACAACTGTGTGAGGCAGCTTTGTCTCAGAAGATGAGCCTAAGATCATGCATTGAGTTCATGGCCAGGTTTGCCCCGTCTGACACGCTAACCACCCTATTGGCCTCTTTGCACACATTGTATCCATGTGGGGAATGCGCTGGGGCAACCACTGCCGTGTTTGTTTATCCTACTTCCATTCATTAGTGCAACAGTTTTTCAATAATTATTCGTTCTTTTTTCTCCAGGGAATCTGTATTCAAGACTTGTTCATGTAGAAGGGGATCAAATCTTCTTGCAAATCCAAGACACCCCAGGATGCACAGAGGTACAGAAATATTCTCTAATAGGTCTGTTCTGATCACATTATTGGGTTTCATTTATTCACTCAGTGCATAATAATACTGCTGGCAAAGCTTCCATGAATGGCAGTGGGCTCAACAGTACATAGACGAGGATTTGCTACACAGAATAAATAGCAATGTGGGATTTCTTTGCATTTTTGTCAGGGTCAGAACAAGATCAGATAACTTGAAAGGCTTATCCAGTGTATTTCAGCAACCAGCGTGTTTAAGGGGCCTATATTCAAGTAACCAAGCATAGGACTGTAACTTTATAAGTACTGATACCTTAGGTCAAAGATATGAACTAAAATTGGATGGGGACAATAAATGACCCCACCCACCCAGCCTTCCACGAACAGATTGTGTCACAGGATGAAGCCACCTGCAGCATCACCTGGTCCAAAACTTCAGTGGAAGACCTGTGTTTGCCTGCCTTGTGCCTCCCCTTGCTGGGGAGGACACAAGGTGGGTGAAACCACTCTGACCACAGTACTGGCCAGAAGAGCATTTCTCTTGGATGCCTTGGTGCGGGAACTGGCTTGGGTCAGAAAAGCCCGCATGCGGCAAAGTCACTCTGGCTGAGATGCGGAGCTGGAAGCCACCCCATGCCTTTCTCCTTTGTGGGAATCCAGTCTGATTGGTGATTCGAGGTCACAGCAGGGGTTCCCATTTGTTCTCACAGACCAGCACCCTCTGCTTTTTGTGAACTGTTCAGCTGGCTATTGGCTGATAATAGATTTGAAGATGATTATTCTTGTCAATAAGCATGTTCTCTTTGTTTCAGGTTCAAGAAGACATAGCACAGATGTTTGACTCCCTTTCCAGATGTCTAAAGTGGGCAGATGGTTTTATTTTAGTCTATTCGATTACAGACTACCATAGCTATCAAGCCATCCGTCCTCTCTATCAGCACATCCGGAAGATCCGTCCAGACTCTAAGAGCCCTGTCCTCATTGTAGGCAACAAAGGGGACTTGTCTCATTCCCGGCAGGTAGCGGCAAATGATGGCCTACAGTTGGCTAATGAACTGGGCAGCGTGTTTCTAGAAATCTCTGCTAGTGACAACTACCAAGGTGTGTGCGATGTCTTTCAGCATCTTTGCAAAGAAGTTACCAAGTTGCACAATGGAGAGAAGAGGAGATCATCCATCATTCCGCGGCCCAAATCGCCAAACATGCAGGATCTCAAGAGACGTTTTAAGCAGGCCTTATCTTACAAAGTCAAGTAAAGATCAGCCTTGCAAGATCACCTCTTCTTGAACAGACTGTTTGTTTTATAAATTATATAAGTTTATAAGGATAATTTATTTTTGTAGGGATGTGCGTTGTGTGCATTTGAAAGCACGCATCTTCCTTGTATTACTTTTGTATTAATTAACCTTCACCATGCTGAACCACAAGAAAATAAAATGAAGGAAAAGATTGTGCTTAATGGCCCATTGCTATGATTGAAAGTGACTTTCTGCTACAACCAGAGCAAGTGTACATGTGATCCCTGTCAAACTTTGATAGTATTGAAATCATGATATTTCATCCAGTTTAGCTGGATGGTGGGCAGGGTTACTTATCTGTCTTATTTGGATGACTCAAATACAGAGGGAGTAATCCTATGCATGTTTAAACTGAAAACGTTGTAGAACTTTTCAAGCCTGGATTAATTTTTAAAATTTGTAACAAGTTTGTTTCACAGCAGCTATGTATATTAATTGCCTCTGGGGGAGTGACTGTTTCTCCTCTCCAAATCTGAGGATTTTTGCCATGTAAACATGCGTAAGATTGCACCCTGAAGCTGCAATCCTATGCCCACTTATCTGGGAATAAGCCCCATTAACTCAGTAGGACCTAAGTCTCAGTAGACATTAATAGCACTGAAGGCTAAATGCCATTGATTTTGACTGCATTTATACTGGTCCCTTTCATTCATGAATATGGGGAATGAATTACAACATGATCAGTTTTGTAAAATGCTGTGAGATCTGATCAGTTTATATAAATGAAAAATAAAATGATTAAATAATAATGATTGGCAAGTCAGTTTTTATGCACAAAAATATATAAAAAAATAAAAACTCTTCACTTAGTCTATAGCAGTTGGGTCCAGAATTGGGCCGTGAGCCAAAAATCTATGAACATGTGTTGGATTTCTTGGAGAGCACCCTCCTAAGACTTGTATAAAGCTGCTCTTGAAAGCAGCAGTTTTCAATATGGTGGAAGGCATCTGTTGCTCGAGAGGAAACGTTTATTTTATTACTTATTTAAAGTTTTTATATGCCGTCCCCTTGCTACATAGCCTCGGGACGGCTCACAGCAATAAATAAAACACATACAATTACAAATTACAATTAAAACTTGGAAACACACTGGTTGCACAATTAAAAACTATAAATATTAAAGATTATTAAAATACTGTTTAAAAAGGTCTTGGCCTGGCGCCGGAAAACAAATAACAACGGCGCCAGATGGATCTCTGGGGAGCTCATTCCACAGAGAAAGCCCTCCTCTGGGCACTTTGCTTCCTGATATCTCTTGCGGAAGGCTTCCGGAGGAGAGCCTCTGCTGCCGATCTCAAGGGGCGGGAGGGCAGGCGTTCCTTCAGGTATCTGGGTCCCAAGCCATTAAGGGCTTATAAGTAATTACCAACACCTTGAATTGAGCCCGGACTTCGATGTTGGCCATCCAACTGACTTCCTAGGCTTTGTTTTTGGTGTGCATCTGTGTAGTGTATGAACAGCACTAACCACCCTGCCCCAAATGGAACGTCATTACTCTCCTGTTGGTTTGTTCAACCATGCAAAGTCATGGCAATTCACAAAGGACATCCTGTTCTAATAGCATTGTAGGGACAAGAGTCATCATGCTGGATCAGATCAATGGTCCACCTAGTCCAGCATTCTGTCCACACAGTTGCCACTAATGGGAACCCACAAGCAGGGCTTGAGTGCAACAACGCCCTCCTATCTCTGGTACTGAAGGTGGCTTACAGCCATCACGGCTAGTAACCATTGTGAATGTTCTCCGAGAAATTTGTCCAATCCCCTTTCACAATTGTCCAAATTAGTATCTATCACTTCATCTTCTTGAAGATTCCATAATTTAACTATGTGAAGAAGTCCTTCCATTTATCTCTCCTGAATCTCCCACTAATCAGCTTCATGAAAGAGAACAATGTCTTGAACTGTTTTCTCCAGGCGGCACATAATTTTGTACACCTCTGTCATGTCTTGCCTTACTTGCCGCTTTTCTGTGCAAAGCAATACTGGATTTTGCAACCTTTCCTCAGAGGTGAGTTGCTCCAGTGTCTGGAACATTTTTTCCCAGTTCTACAACATTCCCTTTCAGGTGCAGTGACCAGAACTGTACACAATATTCTAAGTGTGATCATGGCACAGATTTGTATAATGGCAGGTTTATTTTCAGTTCCTTTTCCAATTATGCATAGCACAGAGTTTGCCTTTTTCAAAGCAGGCAGGCACTTTGTTGGCATTTGAATTGTCCACCTTGGTGATCTGGCTCTGGCTCAAGATCTGGCTCTCTCCAGATCTCTTGGTAGCTTAGATCCTATCGACATCTACTTGCAATTTGGATCTTTGATCCCACCATGTTCCATTGTGTGCTTGTTTCCTGCATTTCCTGGACTGCATTTGCCATTTTGATTCACCATTTGCCATTTTGATCATCCCACACAGAATGAAACACCGTTTATTCCAGGGAACAAAGGCTGCAATCCTATGCACATTTACCTGGGGGTAAGTCCTATTGGACTCGGGGGAGTTTACACCTTGCGGACTTGTCCTATGACTATTCTTCTTCTTGCAGCTGCTAATTAGTTTATGTGCACTACACGAGGCTTTATGCCAGAGAAAACGAGGTCATTCATACTACAGATAAAGCCATGACATGTACTTTTCTACTGTGTCAAATACATGCTTAGCAACAAAGTTCATTTGGTGACCTTGGGCCAGTTGCTAATGTACAGCTTAACTCAACAGGATTATAGAGAAGAAGAGCACTGGACGATGCCTCAGGCTGAGTCAGACTGAGTCAGGCTATTCAGCTATGCATGGTTTACAATGACCCACAGTGGCTCTCCAGGGTCTCAGAAGGGTTTTTTCCCCCCAGCCCTACTTGGAGATGCTGGGGGACTGAACTGAGTCCTTCACTTGCAAAGGATACGTGGACCACTGAAATCTGGCATCTTAGAGGATGGATGAGGTATATATTTACTAAACATACACTAAATGGAATGCAATAAGTGAGCTGAATGCTGTAATAGGCCTCATTAAGTGGAAATAATAAATGCTTTTTCAGCTTGGCTTTTGGCTTTGATGCAGTCCCATAACATTATTACCTTCAGAATTTCAGGTGAAAGGACAAACAGAGGCAGCTCTAATTGTACAATAGGATTTCGGCCTTCTGCTTTCTCTCTCACAGATAGTTCTTTTGGCACAAAGGGGTATGCTTTTTTCAGTATGCCCTCTGTATCTTTAACAGAGGCTTGCTCATCTCGCCAAGGGATGAGGTTTCTGTCAACTTGGACATGCTGCAACAAGAAAGCTTCTTCTATTAATATCAGGCTTTTATGCAGTATTTAAGGACATGGGCGCTGTATCAGGAAGATACATGCACAGAGAGAGAATAATTCAAGGCCATGAAAAATGGGGGATTTATTTCCAAGTTTGTCTTATCGCTCCTGTACACAAGCAATTTACTAATGTGATGCTTTACTGAGGCTTCTTGTATTTTCATTGCAGGAGGAAACACGTGTCTATGACATGGGCTTTCTATACTCTAGGGGTGGCCAGATTCGCTCAATGAAAGCGCCACGTATAGTAAACGACAGATGTCAGAGAGCTGCAAGTGGGTGCCTGCTGGCAGCGGGCAACAAGCAGGCACCTATGGGTGCCAGCCGCAGGGGGCTTGTAGCTCCCAAGCCTCGTTTTGGCCACCCCTGCTGTGTATATCCAGCACCGTAGTCTATCACCACAGCACAAGGTGGCGCTGTGACACAGCTGCAGCATAGCAGATTCGTAGCAGTGCACAAGGCTTTGATTCCCGTTCCAGTGTTAATAGCTTAGGTTTCTCATTGTAGAAAGTCATGATAAGGCTGAGAAACACTGCAGCAGCCAGAGGATGACCCTGTGAAAAGGCCCTGCAAATACGATGGAGGCATCTGTTGAGAAGCCCAGTTGTGTTCCTAATCAATACGTGTTCTTGGCCTTAAGGTGCAATCATGGCTGGGAATACTGGGAGCTGCTGGCATTTTTCTGTAGACCTATGCACAGGATTGCACCCTCGACTGCTTTTTGTAAGGCTTTGCCTGTTTGTGTTTGGGCTATTTTACAAGGTTTGTGATTGTATGCAGGGGTGTGGCTTTCAGTGCTACGGTGCTTAGCGGAAATCTTTCCCTTGAAACATGGGTGCGGGACCATTCCTCTGGGAAGGCAGAGGAAAAGTGGGCCGGCCGGCTCCTAGCACCTTCATGGCATCTGACCTGCGGCCTTGGCCAGGGGAGGTGGGGCAGCGGGCATCTGCAGGGAGGGCGTTCTTGTGGAGGAAGGCAACACTTCCCCCCCAGCATCTTGCCAGGATATTTTGACTTGCATCATCGTGAAACTTTTGCAGAGATCTCTGCTTAAGCAAACGTTCTGCCAGATAGCGCTAAACAGTGCATCCAAATCTATTTCCACATTTGCCACCTTTGGAAAACAACACTTCTGGGGATGACTGTACAAGCTGCTGTGATTCAGCCTGGCTAAGTATGCACTTCTCTTCTGGAGGTAGCAGTTCAGGATGACACAGTGGCAACCACGACATGGCGGTGGGGGGAGAGCAAGCAAGCGGGTACATGCATGTCCGCATTCATACTGCCCTGTAGCCTCTTGATCAGGAAGTATCATCATGGTGATGCAAAAACAAGAGAAATGTAACAGCAATAACAAAATCATGTTCTTTCTTGATGATAGGAAAGCTCATCAATTTAATTAAAGTCATTGCATTTTCACTCCAAAGCTGAGATATAGGAATGCCTGTAGTGCCCATGGTGCGGTGCAGCTGTGATGGTGGCTGGGCAGCCGACCATATTCTTTGCAGGCAGACAGTTCCAAGTTGAATTGCCACCATCCCCAGGACGGGCTGGAAAAATTCTGTTCTAAAACCCTGGAGAGCTGCAGCTAGTCAGTGCACGCGATACTGGCATCAAGGGTCAACTTCCTCTCCTCCTAACCAGTAAGAGCTTCTATTAGAATTGCTAGGAACTTCTGACAGCATTACTAGTACGAAATTGCATCTTTCAGCTTACCATTCTCAAGGGACTTGTCAGCAAGTGGGAGTTTGTCCCAAAACTGTTCTTTTTCAACTGCTTCTGCCTCTCCCCATTGCTAGTAATCAATTG